ATATAGTAAGTTGTATACATATGTATAATATATATTGTATGCATAATATATACTTTTAAATCATTAAATTAGAAACTTACGGAATCGTAGTAAGGATGTGTATCGTCACATTCAGCCAGGCAAGCCACCGTACCGTTACCGTAGGTGATGGTGGCGTTTTTGCACTAAAAGTTAGAAAAATTAAGGTATCGATGAGAGAAGAGGGAAATAGGGATAGTGAGAGAGAGAGAGAGAGAGAGAGAGAGAGAGAGAGAAAGAGAGAGAGAGAGAGAGAGAAGGGGGAGAAAGAAATATTACCTTGTTGCACTCCAGATTCGACGGTCCATTGCAACCACCTTCGCAAAACACGTGACATCGAGCGCAGTGGGTGTTATTTAGGGGGTAACCTTGCGATCTGAATTCAATACGGTAGATTGGCAGGCTAGCACAGATTTTGGTGGAATTTGGCAGTCAAATTCCGGTGGGATAAGATACGTATTTGGGCTACGGTAGGCTAGCTAGCAGGGATTTTAAAGGAATTTGACGAACGAAAAGTACACTTACCCGCAATCCTTGACACATTCATGATCCGTTGGATCGGACAGTGACGGAATGCTGAAAATACCGTAATCGCCAGACTACAAACCCCAAACCTCATATTCCGACACTGGCATTTGGATTCTTTGACCGATGTCCCGCCCGTTGTGCATGTTTTGCATTCCGGGGCGCAGCGCTTGCAGTGCTAAACAGTGGGTTGAATGCCGTAAGTTAGCGTAGTGTAAAGTATGAAACCATGCAAAGGCATATTTAGCGTACTACCGTAACCAACTTACAATTCTCGATCCCTCTGGGGCTGCAAAGAATCCGGTGTAGTTGTTGACCTGGCAGGCTTCAGAGTCGTGATTCTGGGAACGGTCGACGTAGAGACATCTGAAAAATGAATTTTCGGATCATTAAAGGGAGAGACAAGGCTGGATTTTTGAAGTTTAAGCAGACTCGCACCTGATTCCGTGAAGCTCCGTTTCCACGTAGATCGAGCAGTTATTACAGCCATGATCACCCATCATATCCACCGGACCGGTGCAGCTAAAAAATTAGAATTTTTTGAGAAAATTGAAGCAAGTTAGCGCAAACCCTAAAAACTGACCCGTTATCGTAACAACTCGCATGGCAGGGCAAACAGCGATTTCCTGAGCGGAAGTACTCGATAGGGCATTCTGCAGGCAGCGTAGTCGGTTGTCTTTTACCTGAAAAACAGTTTATCGCTTTAAAGGAACGTGGAAGAAATCTGTAGTCTTTTGCCAGCGATTCAAAATGAACACGTTAAGCTTAACGAGCTAATAAACGATTTTTTTTATAATTTTCGAGAATTTTGCCGTTTTGCGCTCATGGCTAATTGGTAAAGCTCTTGCCTCCCAAACACACGACCCGGGTTCGTCTCCCACCGGCGTCAAGATTTCAGTTTTTTTTTTTTTTAATTTTTGCAGGTTTTTTCCGTGCTATGCTCCTTTAAAGGCCTCGGCAAGCCAGAAAATCCAAAAATCTCGAACCGCTTACCAATCCAACATTCCGGCAAGATCTGCAGTCCTCCTCGCCGGGCCCGGAACATTGCAGACACTGTGGGGCGCACTTTTCGCAAACTCTCTTCAGGTTGCCCTGCTTGTCCGTTTTCTCGACGGCTCGGAAGCTAAAGGGTGGTTTTTCTACGGCAGAGACCAGCGTTAGTCGAAATTCAGGCAAAATCTTGACTTCCAGGTCCCTTTAAAAGGGCTAGGAGCGAGCTAATCGACCCCTATCAAAGGCTAGGTCTTGACACAGACGTAGGATGCAAAAGCTCGCTTAAAAATGTCGATATGACGAAATTTGTGCGCTATTTCGCGAATAGCTTATTTTCTAGACCCAGTTGGACGTAAGGTAGATTTTGGCCCTTCCGTGCCCCTTTAAAAAAATTCTATATGCTGCGTAGTACGTACCCATTCTCCAAACACTTCTTGACGCATCTCCCCTCCTGGTCCCAGTTTTTGCATTTCCGGCACTGCGTCGGCCCTTTTCCCCAGCATCCGAATTCCGCGTCACAGTTATCGTCGCATTTGTTTGCTAAAACGCGGCTTTTATTTGGGTTGGAATTTGCTCTGAAGTCTGAGTGCAACTTTGTGATGGTAATTGGGACGTCGGGTGAGCTAGCAGAGACCCTTTGGAATGCGAATTCAGGTGCGTATATTAATAGGAAAATTTCAGCAGGCCAGCGGAGATTCTTTGAGGTATTTCATGCTAATTGCCCCACTAAAATTAGTCGATATCCGGGGCCAGCCAGCATAGATCCTTTACGAAATTTTGAAACCCACTAAGAGGAGACTAGCACAAATTTTTAGAAATCATATTTTTTTCACCAGTCGCACACTAATAGAAGTCCGATTTTAAAGGCAGGCTAGCAAAGATCATTCGAGACCCTTTTTCTTCAATTCCATCTGCCAATTCTGGTCAAAAATATGGACAAGCTAGCACAAATTCTTTGAGAGCGATTTCCCGAAACACGCACTAATAAGACCCGTAAAAAATGTTAGTAAACCACAAGACTTTCAAAAAAAATTAATAACAAAAATCGTGCCGTTTCAGAACGTAAGTGCAAAAATCAAAATAAAAAAGTGGTTTTTCATGCGCAAGACTTGTCCCTACTTGACTCGCAATTCGCCGGCACTGCCATGTATCCAGTGTCTGCAAAGGAAGGGCATGAACTGTCAACTCACCGCATCTGTCGTACACACCTTTCACAGCAACACTTGCTGTTGTGATCCCTCGGAATGTTGTATTGGAGAGGTAGCAGAGGAAGTGGTTCTGGCTGACCACGACGTCACCACGGCGGATCTGAATTGGGGCACCGTGTAATCGCTTAAACATAGAAAATAGATTACCTTAATGATTATTTAAATCATTTCATTCATCAACTCAAAATAGATAAAAAATTAGATCCTCGAATGCTTAAAAACAACGCGAGATCAGATATAACTAATGTTATTGACTAAATTTATATTTTTCTGCGCTAGGCTACGTTACGTAGAGATACGTACTTACGTTACGCTACGTAATGATACGCAGCTACGTAGCGTTTTGTGCAGCTACACCACCTACTTACACAAAAATTTTATCTTTAAATCCCGAGGAAGCTAAATTCATAGCGTAATCGGTGCAACCCGAAATATCGGCCGTATGAATGGTATTTTGAAAAACGGCATTTTAAAAATGTTATTTTAGCATTTAAACATTTTAATTATTTTGTTTTCTATCCACTTCTATGCAAATACGTAGCGTAATCGGTTAATTGTACGAAATCAATCATGAAATTCCAAAATTTTAAAGGCTAAAGCGTATGATAAGCCTAATTCATCGCGTAATTGGTTATTCTCGAGAGGAGGATCGCCCACTTGGCGCTCCAGCTAACAAGAATTACATAGCGTAATTGATAAAACGCCTGACCTCATCCAATTTCCGCCAGTTGAATGACTCGACGTGCGGGTTATTCGACACGATCACCGCGAATTTTTTACTGAAAGAATTAATAAAAATTCTCCCATTGCCTCGACTTACTCAGACAGCTCACGGCCCTCAATAACCTCCACGTTTTCCAGAAAGCTTAGATTTCTCAGGTCGATACCGGCAATGTCGACAAACTACAAAAAACGTCGATGTGTTCGAAGGATTCCTACAGCCGTCTGCTCTCATGTACATACCTGAGTAATCTGGCGCACCGTCTTCAGGTAGTTCAACTTCTCCGGTCGTAGCGCCGGCACGGTGGTGCTGTTCGTGCTAGAACAGTGAGATTTTGCCTCTATCCTTTTGCCAAAAATTTCTTGCCATGTTTTTGACTTCAAATTTTTACCGATAAAACGTACCCTTTGTGCGACTTGAACGTATGCGTGCGTAACCGGATAAATCCGTCGATTTCGGTGCAATTCTGGAGGCTTTCGATGTTGTACGCGTCGATGATCTCTTCCAGGCGACAGGCTAAAATAGTCTTTAATTCGCTCTCTTTCCCCTCTCTCTCTCTCTCTCTCTCTCTCTCTCTCTCTCTCGCTCTTCCAAAAACCCACATTTGGGACACAGCCCTTTGCATGGCTGGCACTCCTTCGTGTTCTCCCTCGCGTCGTAGAAGTATCCCTCGCTGCATCGAAGTACGCAATATGCTCCTTCGATTAGAGTGCCCTCTAAAATCATGAAATTTAGAAGCGATAGGTGATTAATAGCCGCTCTGCCCACTTTTTCAAGCAGTTTTACCACTTCGCGGTGCCTTTAAAACCAAAATCATACCTGGACACTTTGCCACGCAACTCCTATCATGCGTGTATTTCCCGTTCGGGTCACGGTAGCGAGTTTTCGTCGCCGGGTTGAGCCTGAAATTTCGAAGATGAACATCTACAACTGACGATAGTCTTTAAAGCGTTTAGAGGAGCTATGATAGTCTAACGCTTGCAAAAACACTACGTTCCAAATGACAGCTCCAGTGTCGCTGTCCCTTTAAACTAAATTTTCTCAAAAATTACCGATAAAGCGGGGAGCAAAACTCGACACATCGTCTCGTCTCCTCGTCCTGGTAGTGCTTGCAGCTCTTAAAAAAAATATAAATTTCTGGGGTCCGAAATTTACATAGCAATCCGATGGGGTGGGGCCACGGCAGCCGCCTGCACATTCGGAATCGCAGCATTCATAGTTGGTTACTGGAATTTAATAGAAATCTCGGTTTCTCACTCTCGCTCTCTCGCTCTCTTTCTCTCTCTCTCTCGCTCTCTCTTTCTCTCCCTTTCTCTCGCTCACTTTCTACCCACCATTTGTGACCGGATCCACCTCCGGGTAACAAGCATTTGCATCTTTTTTACAGGCCGGTGTGCACTTCGAACGAACCACTAAAATTTAATCAATAGGATAGGGAAAAACTAACAGAAAACGTCACAAAGTTTATATGAAACCAACTTTGTTGACAATTCTCGGCTCCTCTCCCAAAGCATCCAGATTCACAGCTGGGGTCACATACAAATCGTCGGCCTTTCGGGCAGGCTTGACCATTGTTTTTGATTTGTATCCGGGAGGTACCATCGGGTTGGAGGACGGGGTCGAGGACATAGAAAATGATGTATGAGCAAGAGCGTGAGAGCAAGAGGGAACTTGAGCTCTACAAAATACCGTACCTCTCCCCAGTTCGTATTATTTGCATAGCAAGACCTCGGATTCTCTGCAATCGCCACACTCCCTTGCATGACAGCTCGAAGTGAGGGCAAGTGGATGAGTTGCAGCTTGGCGTTGTGGATGATCTGGAATGAGAGAATTTTAATGGTATAACAACGAGAGAAAGAGAGAGAGCGAGAGAAGTGAGAGAGCGAGCAGACGATACCTCGATGGCATACTCATTCCTATGCAGCGAGTCTCCCCAAATAATCTGCAGCTTCTTCATGCTGATGCTGCTCATGTTCTGGTTGTTGTAGATGAGGATGTAGCCTTTCACCTAAAATTAATCGTGGATTTTTGGCTGCAATGGGACCCAAAACCGTTCAACAGCTTCAAAAAAAGAACAATGATGCCGGAAGGTTCAAATTTTCAATTTTTCCGCCTTCAATGGCCCTTTAAAACGATACCGATTTTATGAAAATTGGGTTACGGTAGGTAGAAAGGTAGAAAGCTATAGATTTAGGTTTATATAGCCTCGAACCTGCACGATATCATCCAAAAAATCGATTGGTCGATCCTCGTCGTAATTGACGATTTCGACGTTGTTGTAGACGTGAGTGCAATTCTGGAAAACACGAAATTTTTGTATTTCTTATTTTTTTGAATTTTAGTTTGGTTATGGGCCCCACCTGGTACATTTTTTGCAAATATTCATAGTGCGAGATCTCGGGCCGCATGCCGCTTTTGGAGTAGCTGTTCTTTGAGCCGGAACATGCTAAAAAAATATTTGAAAATTACGGTAGTCCAGGGAACGGTAGGGATTACACAGGGTTTTTCATGGACGTTTTATTTAAAAAAAATTTTAAACCAAATTTTGTAGGTTTTTCGTTGATAATTTTTTTGGTATTTACTGCAATTGATGACGCCAAGGCGACACTGCGGCAACTTCCACTGGACACTGGCTTGGGTGGTGTACGCGAGGATACAGAGGACGGAGACGAAGAGGAGCAGTACGGTAGGATACGGTAGGTACCCGGCCGAGGGGGCCATTATTTAGGGCCCACAGGTAGGGGCGGTGACCGCTGAGGAAAAATGGATTCTTGGAAAACGAGAGAGAGAGAGAACGAGAGAGAGAGAGAGAGAGAGGAGAGAGAAAGAAAGACATAGAGAGAGAGCGAGAGAGCGAGAGAGAGAGAGATCGAAAAGAACACGGTTCCTAAAAATTTCGACCTGCAAAGGTGCCAAATTTCTAGCCATCACAAGGCAGGCGCCAAGGAGGGCAAGAGCCCATAAAAAGGTTGAAGCCGCGAGGGGTGCGTCAGTCAGTCACTCAAACAGACACACACACACACAAACCCTATCAAAACGCTGACACCCCCACGCTCCTCTCTCTCTCTCTCTCTCTCTCTCTCTCTCTCTCTCTCTTTCTTTCTCTCTCTCTCTCTCTCTCTCTCTCCATAATCCCCCGCACCCGCTAATATATTGTCCCGGCGAAAATTACGCTTGGCAAAATAGACTCATAGAAGCCGTTTTCCAGCTAATTTATAACTGAATTACCGTAACCACAAAAGCTACCGTAGCCGGCTCTATTATTAGCATTTTCCAGCCCCAAGTAGACAAAAATAAGATCAGAGGAGGAATTTCATTCTAGACGTAGTGATGCCCCTTCGCGATTTCGTCAATTCCATTTCCTTCCAGCTTCCGTTGCGGAACTATGGACGGCAGTGAGTTGGGTAGCGAAATAGGAGTAAACGCAACTTTTTGAGTTTGTGAGAATTGATCAAGGGGGTTCAGAAAACCTGTAAAAGCTGGCTGAGATCCTTTAGGCTTTAAGGCAGGCTAGCAGAGATTTTTTCGATGTTGCGAAGATAGCAGAGATCATTCAGGATTTACAGCATCAGCACTGGTTATTCAGCTCATATAAATTTTACTGCGCGAGGGAGAAAGAGACAGAGAGAGAGCGAGAGAGAGAGAGAGAGAGAGAACGAGAGAGAGAAAGAGAGAGTAAGAGGGAGACTGCGGGAGCGAGAGAGAGAGAGTGGGTGAGAGAGATTGATATGTTGCAAATTTCGTCTACTCCACCCGGGAGGACCACATAGCAGCACGTGTGCATGCCCAGGTCCACGGCATGCAATAATAAGATCTACACAAATATTTAGGGGACCGACGGCCGAGGGCTCGACGGCCAATTTCCGAAATGAAGCCTGAAAAGGGATGCCACGAACCCGAGTAATCGGGGGGATCCGATTTTTTTAGTTGAGTCATGGGGGAGAAAGAGAGTGAAACAGCTGAACGCAACAAGCAGAATCTATTTATGTCCGAAATCCTGCGCGCAAAGAAACACTGCTAGATTGCCTTAAATTTATCTCTCATTCACTTTCCCTATCACTCTCTCTCTCTCTTTCTCTCTCTCTCTCTCTCTCTCTCTTTCTCTCTCGCTCAATTTCCGTCCCTTTGGTAATCAAGCCTCTGAAAACTGTAAGCTCTTCGAAAATCGCTAAAAGATCTCTGCCTGCTTGCCCTGAAATTCCTCAGGGTTCCGCGCTACCGCGCAGAATTTCCTAAATGTTTTCTGCTGGCTGCCATAACTCCAGCTAACTCCTAAATTCCCCTCATTCCGCAAGAATCCTCGCTAGCTCACCGCATTTTTGAAAAAACTTCCCGTTTTACCTCATTTAACTAGTTTAACAATAAAAAACAATCGGATACGGTGACAGCACTTTACAACAATTTCATTCGGTAGGGAATTTTTGGACATTACGATAGGGCAACATACCGTACCTCCAGGGCTGTTCGAATCGACTTAAAAGGTTGTTAAACTGAATTTTTAAGTTCCATGAATCGGTATCGGTCGTGTTGCATCAATATCCGATACTGTACACGTAATGCCGTCGCAACGCGTCCAAATAGAGCTGCTAGAAAGCCAAAAAACAACTCACATCTCAACCGGCTATTGGGGAATCGGCTTTTTGGCTCCAACGTCGAAAATTGCGAATTCAGAATGGCATCCGGGTCTTCCTAAATGGATTTTGAGCTTTTCTAGGGATAAAGATTTACAATTAATTCATTGGATTCCCTGGGGCTACAGTAGACGGTTAGATACAGCCAAAAAAGGCCAAGCCCCCATCGCATTCCTAAAAATCTAGTTTAAATGTTTAAAGGGGCGAGGAAGGGCATACTTTGAAAATATTCGAGATATCGGTGAAAACACAAAAAATTAAAGTTCCGAAAATAGGACGTATTGATGACAAAACAGATCATTGAAAAAAGCAGCCCGAATGAGCAAGTATCAATATACCAACATCTGATAAAACAAAAATACACAAAATGAAAAATTTCGAAGATGGCTTGGAGCATTAATGGCAGGCGCAGGCTATCTCAGCTAGGTATCAGAAAAACATGCAAAATCCGATGCCTTCTCCCCCAATTCTTCCACACAATTAGAGCCCCATCCCCCCGGCGATGCCCGCCGGGGGAGATGAGTCATTTGGGAATGAGGCGGAATGAGAAAGGGAAGGAATTTAGGGGGAAGGTCAGAATGGCCAGTGGGCACCAGGGAAGTGTCGACGATTTTTGTATTTCACGTACTGATATGATGGGTAAACCCGCGGCGTGAGCTTACTTAACTTGGCTTCGCGTAGGCTTATGTACGTAGCTACCGTTGATAGTAAAACTAAGAATTACAAATACTAAAAAATTAGGTCGAATTAGAGGCTCAAAATTAGATTTTCACGGGTCCACTCGCCTGCAGGAGAATATCGTAACTACTTACAGCAAAACCTGGTTACGATAGGCTAAAATCGTCCCACTCCGAGCTGCACCTATAATCAAAACCGAATTAGCAAGAAACGAGCGGAAAATCGGGGTTCCAAGCTATTTTGACAAAAAAGAGGTTGACCGGAAGTGGATTTTATGACTACAAGAGCGGCCAAAGAACGCTAAAAATGACAGTCAATCTATGACTGTAAAATCAGACATGGCAATCGGCCGGGCCGCGCGGCTTTTTCGGCCGCAAAAATTAGAATGCGGCCGGGCCGCGCGGCTTGGCCGCACTTCCGGCGCGGCCGCGGCTTTTTTCCGTTTTGAGGCCGCACGGCGGCCAAGCCGCGCTGCTTTTAAGGCCGCATCCAAATGAGTTTTGAGTACTTCCGGTACGCAAATCAGAGATGCAATGGGTATTTAGCTTGCTAACGAGGAAAATATATATTCGACACCTTAATTTTCTCATTACCATTCCCATTTCGCATGAAATTCACGGATTTTTGGTATGTATATGAGCCACTTCCGGTTTGCGGCTTGGCCGCAGCGGCCCGGCCGAGCCGCAATGAAAATGCGGCTCGGCCGCGAAGCCGCGTTTCCGGAAGTAACTAATTACGGCGGCTCGTAGGGGGCCGCGTTTTTTATGGAAATTAGGCCGCCGGCCGGGCCGCGCGGCTCGGCCGATCGGAATTGCCATGTCTGGTAAAAATAATCACTAGAAAAAAGACAATTACGATAAATTGCTTAAAAGTAGATAAAAAGCTCCAAATCGTCAATAACTGCCCCTCGTATCTGGTCGTTCGATCTCGGGGAGGATGGGCAGGAAATGGGATCGATTAGAAGACAGGCCACAGGGGAAGGAGGTGAAGCTTTTTCATGGGGTTGAAAAGACAGAGAAAGAATCGGTGATAAGCACATTTGAAGAGTGATGCTTTAAGCCAAAACAGACCCCGGGCACGTGCCAGAGAGGGAAGGAAGTGGCTTGGGTGGATTGGTTAGCGAGGAAATTAGTATTCGCGGCTCAGTGCCGCGACACGCAACGCGCGGCTAGCTTGCCATCGCATAATCTTTTACGTCTCTTGACGCTATTTCAAGGATTTCCAACTACGGTCAGATAAACGATCGTAAAGACGGCTGTTTCGTAGAATCTGCAACCCTTCGAAAGTTTTTTTAGAAAAAGTTTTCCAGAAATTTCCCTTAAAAGCTAAAAAAATCGTCCATTGCTGACGCAGAACCAGAAAACCTTTGCACAACAAAACGGTCGTGGGGATCTGCGCCGCTAGGGTGTAGACAAAACACGATACCAGTCATATCCAACGGCTTTCGCCGGTCACACCGAAAAACGAAGAAATTTGGATACGCAGAGGGCATACGGGGGATTTTTTCTGAATCCCAAATTGGCCATGAATAATAAATGAAGTAAATATAATTGTAATGTAGTAAACGATAAAACTAAATAAGCCGAGAGCATGAGCACGAAAAACCAAAGAAAGCGAAACAGTGAGCCTCATACACCCAGAGAAAGCGGGAGCTTGAGTACGAGATACCCAAAAAAAGCGTGGGAAGGAGCACGAGAAAACGAAAGAAAGTTAGAGAGTGAGCACGAGAAAACCAAGGAAGTCGAGAATGTGAGAATTAGAGAGAGGTACCTGGCCAAAGACACGCAGTTTTGAGAAAACTCCAGATTCCGCTGGCTCCTCTTTACACCCCAGGTGTGGATAGTATCCAACCGGATTAGTGGTGGGGCAAAGTTTCCAGGAGAAGGGGCTGCTCAGAGCTGAGTGTGGTGCTCGTTATGGCTAGAGGCCATTGCACCCCGGATCCCCTAAAAAGATCCGTAAACCCGCAAGGTCACCTTTTAGACTGGCCGAGGGGGATAGTCCTTAATCTCCCCTTCTTGGCCCTAATCCGGTGGGCCCCCCAAACTTTTATGAGTGGCCCGGGCGCGACTTGCGCAATTCGATGGGGTAGCTAGCGATGATTATGATCGGCACGCGCCGGTGCTTATAAATATAGTGTTTTATAGGGAAGGCGTGAGAGGGGCTCGGCTTTGAAGGGAACAGATCAAAATCTGTGAAACATCTTTGGGCGCAAACCGAATTTTTGCTGCATTAATAATTGGTAGATCAAACTTAAATATAGCTGTTGGCGACTTTAAAGGGGCTGGCAAGTGCTAAATTCACGCATCAAAGCCGTAAAATCTTAAGAGCGTCTAAAAAGCACCGTAAAAATATTTAGGTTTTTTGTTCAAATTATCTAGCGCAGTGAAACCTTTCAAATAATACCAAACAATTTCAATAGCCTCAAAAACAGAATACTGATGTTTAAAAAGTAAAATGTGTGGAACAGTGATTCCCAGGGTCCAGCTGCCGGTTGAGGGAAGGAGGACCGTACGGAACGGCCCTCCCCTCCTTCACAAAGAGCCCATTTCAACTACCAAAACATCCTGCCTTCTCTCTCTCTCTCTCTCTCTCTCTCTCTCTCTGTCTCTCTCTCGCCTTTTAAGAGACATTCGGATGGGATTTGATGATTCGATTTGAGAGGGCCTATGGAGGATATTTGATACATTATGGACTTTTTATATGATTAATGCATGGATATTTTCAAACGTAGCTCCGGGGGACAGGCTAGCAGAGATCTTTTGGGAAAACTGGCTTGAAATAGGGTTCCAGAACTCTAGCATTATTCAGAACTCGTGATCAGGATAGTGGCTGGATTCATAACCTAGAAAATCCATAGTCATTCATACAAGCATTTGGTTTTTCGAAAACACAAAGCTTCTACAGTAGCATCAAGTGTAGATGTTTCCAACACCAAGGTTAACGTGTTTAGAATGACTAGCCACCATCAATGGCTCCAATAGTAGAACCAGAAAAGACCCCAAAAAGGAAGGGGCCCACGCGAAGACGTGGGCAGGCCCGGACCTGATTTTTCGAAGGGTTGACTCACCACCGAGGGAAATTGACTCCTTTTCAGGACCCAACATCATATTTGCTGGAGCCCCCTTTCACACCATCAAATAGGGACCCTGATCGGGAGGGAAGGAGGGAAATTTAGAGGGCAAGTGAACTCTTAAAGGGATTGGGAAGCAGAAACTGTTTCTTTCTCTCGTTCTCTCTCGATCTCGCTCTCTCTTGCTCTCTCTGTTTATCTCTCCCTTGCTTCAGCTCATTTCAGCAAAGTTCTCTGCTAGCTAGCCCCATAAGCGCTAAAGTATAGCTTCCGGTGCATTATCCGCAAAGAATCTCTGCTAGTCTGCCGCCGATTCCTAGAGAATCTCTGCTAGCCTGCAGCCGATTCCTAAAGAATCTCTGCTAGCATGCCCTCCGAATCCTCAAGAATCTCTGCCAGCATGTCCGCCGATTCCGAAAGAATCTCTGCTCGCCTGCGCTCCTCAAAGCTCCCCGCTATTCCTCCTTGAAATTTGGTTTTTTAAAGGGCAGATGAAGGCAGAAGATACAAAATTTCAAAAAGTACGGTGCCACGTACAATACACTCCAAATTCCGTTTTTACCTAAAAAGCCCAATTTTTCGCTTTTCACTTTTTCAAAAAGAGCCTCCATTATCTTCTCCCTTCCGAGCAAGAGCTCCCACTTTTTCTGTTCTTTTCCAAGAGCCCGTTCCCGTCTAAATTACCCCTAGCCCCGGCTCTTCCAGGCTTCTCCAATAAGGCTTCACCCCGCCCAGGGCCCGTCTCCTGTTTGCTAAAATGCGCCCCAGGGCCCGCCGGGGGCCCTGGGCCTCTCTTTTCCTCTCTTTCTCTCACCCCTCTGTATTCTGGCCCTCTCTCGACAGGGCCCCCATTCCAGCTTGGCCCATCCTTCGCCCTCATCTAGTATCCGCTTTCGATTTTCCCGGGCCGGGAGCTTTTGCTTTAATTAGTATCGAAAATTTCTGCTTTTCCGATGTACACCAAATTACGATGCACCACTTTCAGATACTCTAAGCGATGGCCTATCGACAGTATGAGCAGGGAACGAGGTAAAGTTTTTGGATTTTTTTCAGCTGTCAATGTTATTCTAATTTTGTGGGAACTGGAGATATTAAAAGCTGCCCCCCCCCTCTCCCCCCACCCCCCTCCTACGGACCTGCTGCCTACCTAAAATCGGCCTCGGAGCACGAGCTATGAACCAGTTTTTGCGCCCAAAACATTGGTTGATCGTAATCCCCCGTTAGCCCAGTTCGGTTGGTCAAAAAAATACGCTTGCCCCTCGGGCTTCACATACAAATTTTACCACTATACTAGCTAGCTCTAGTAATACTATAACCCTGTTTTGAAGTTTGAAAATGTGGTTCAAAAAATTACTCGGGTAAGTTAAAAACTACGAAAAGAAGAGGACCTTTTGTTAAGATGACTTCACGAAAAATTTACGTAATTTCAGTGGGATGAACTTTGATCGATTTCTGGATCGTTTCGATGAGAATACAGTTACCAAATTGAAACGACACTACTGGACGGCCAAGCAGATGTTTCGAAATAAAATGGGGAAGAAGGTGAGCGAGAAACGAGGTTTCGCAATTTTATGAGGATCACTGCTAGCATGACCTGGAATATTTTTAACCCCCTGATTTTTGAAAATCTCTAAGCCGAACATGTGCATCGAAATTTCCGAAAAAATCACTGCTAGCCTGCCCATCAGCTTCAATTTTCCTCAAGGATTTCTGCTAGCCTACGCCATGAGTTTGGCAGTCGTCGAGACGTCACTAATTTTCAGGAAGACGAGCTACTCACGGCATCAGATGCCGATTTCGACTCGCAAGTGACGCTGTTCAATTCGATCAAACGGACCAGCGATCAGCTGCTCGAGGCCTCAAATAATTACCATGGGTTTTTACTAGGTAAAAAAAAGTTTTTGAACAATTAATAGTAGAATTTAGACGCGGCTCAAAGTGAGAATGGGGTTGGGAAATATTTGAAAGATCGAGGGAAGGAACAACGGAGAGAAGAGACCAAGAAGGTAAGGTATTTCTTGCTCTCTCTCTCTCTCCCTCTCTCGTTTACTCTCTCTACCTCTCTTTCCCTCTCTCCCTCCCTCTCTCTCTCTCTCTCTCTCTCTCTCTACCGCTCTCTCCCACCCTATCCGCAAAAAAAATTTCTTAGGTAATGATCGCCGTAGGTCGAGCCTTCCTATACGCTTCCCATCAAAGAGCAGCCATTTCTCAACCCCTATTACGGTATGATAATACTTTCAGTTTCATGCAAATTTGTAGATTTTATGAAGAAATCTGTGTCTTCAACGAAAGAGCCATATTCGATTGTGGGCAGACGGTAGAAGCGGCTGAACGAGCGAAGACAGAATATAGAGGAAGTTTGCTGTGGATGAAGCAGGAGAGCGAGGAGGTAGAATTTTAAGGACTGATTGAAAGGTTCCTAAGGAATCGGTTCCAGGTTGCCCCAGAAGCACCGCTTATTTTTAAGTGAATCAAAATTATTATCTTAATTTTTCATTTTCAGCTGGACCCCTCGAATTTCCGGCAAATGGATCGATTCCGAGAAGTCCAGGCGACGGTTAGATTGAATAAAGAGCGGTTGGACCGGTTGAAAGAGGATACGTTACAAAAGGTATAATTGTCGAGGCTATCGTATCCAATAGTATAAATTACCTTCAATTTCGCAAAAACCAAATTTTTAGGTCGACCTCCTCTCGGCTAGCCGATCTCATCTACTGTCGCATTTGTTAGGGCGGTAGGCTTTGAAAAACCAGATAAATTAAGGACGTTTTAGATACCTCGAGCTCCTCACTACTTACTACCAAAAAACGGGAACGATCTATGCAACGCTGGCCAAAAATCTTTCCGTTTATGATCACTATGATTTTGAGATATTGACGGTGAGAGAGAGCGAGAGCGAGAGAGAGGGAGAGAGAGAGAGCGAGAGAGTACGAAAACATCTTTTGATTTTAGGAACTGATCGAGCCCTCAAGGAAAGCAGCTCAAAAAGCTCGGCAGGAAAGTGTCGAAAAAGAGCGGGAAGAGGAGGAGCAGCAGAAGGCTGTTGAGGCCGAGCAACCGGAGTACGTTTTTAGTTTAATTCGCCAGCTAGCAGAGTTCATTTGCAAATTGAAGCTAGGGCAGGCTAGCAGGGATCATTGCGGATCGTCGCAAAAACTCTTGAGGAGGAAACCTTGATTTTACAGTTTGATGCAATTTAACGACCGCGACGAGACGAGTCTACGGTACCTTTTTGGAGGAGAATCACCCAGTGATGAGAGAATTGTGACGGATAGAAGGGTAAGTGCTTAAAGAAAATCAATAGAGGCCGCATCAGCGGATGGCAGAGGTTCTTTGGGAAAGAGGAAAATTATGCTGATTTTAGCGATTGGCCGACGATGAGGAGCGACCAGATAGTCCGCTAGTAGGAGAAGCTGAAATAGGAATGGATGCGTTGGAGGGGTTACAAGTTGTAAGTTTCCTGCTTGGCTTTAAAAACGAGGGAGAGGGAGCGAGAGAGAGAGATAGAGAGAGAGAGAGAGAGGAAGAGAGGGAGGAAGATAAAGTAGAACACAGAAAGCCAAATAGCGAGAGAACGAGAGAGACAGAAAGAAAACGTGAGAGAGATAGAGAGCGACAGTGTGAAAGAAAAGAGAGATAAAACAAAAGTTTGTACTCTTTCAGGACGACCTATCAAACTTCGGGCCCCTCCCACCGCTATATCAAACCCAAAACGTGCCGAAATTGACGCCGCCCCCGGAGAATTTCACTCAAAAGCCCCCACTGTCCAAGACGATTCCAAAACACGACCCGTTCGACTTATTATCGTTGAGTGGGGATCTCTTCCGCCCCAAAGGTATCGATTGATTTTTCGAATTACGATCTTACCAGATTCTTGAAGTTAAAATGCTATTTTAGCAAATACCGATGGCTTCGATCCTACAAATCCAACAAATGCTTTCCAGGGGAATGCCGGGTTTAGCAATGTGAGTTTTTAAAGATTTATTATACAAATTTAAGGCAGATTTAAAAACAGATAACTATGATTTGAATTTTACAAGATTTTACGCAAGTATTAAAAATTTATTTATTAGGAATGGGACTCTCTGCTCTCTCAATGCGATCTACAAACTACAAACGATTTGATCTAATCTGGAGGATTGTTGGCTGTTTTCACTTTACTATTTCAATTGTGCTATATCGATCGATATTTGCGTACTGTATCTATGGTATATCTGCTGCTCGATATCCCTAGAGTTTCTTTGGAATGCTTGCAAATTACTGTGCTGTCCATTGGCGATTTGGGGTTTAATAAATGGTAGTTTTTGGCAGAGACATGACATAGATCGGTGTATGTCACTCTCTTTCTCTCTCTCTCTCTCTCTCTCTCGCCGTCTCTCCCTCTCTAGCTCTCTCCCTATCGCTCTCTCGCTCTCGCGCACTCTGTCTATCTCTGTCTCGCTCTCTCGCTCTCACTGCCTCTCTCTGTCTCTCTGTCTCTCTCGCTCTCTCTCGCTTTCTCTCGCTTTCGCAAGTTTCCCACAATTGTCTCTGCTAGCATGCCCGTTGCGCATGCCATTTTTCCAAGATTCCTGTTTTCCTGTGCTAATCGTATAGTACGCTTGGAGGCACTTTTGCTACTTAATCGGTGCCCTTTGGCTACAATCAGAGTGTCCATTCCATTGTATGTGGCAGGTGTGAATGGCTGCGGCGGTCCCCCTAGGAAATCCTAGGCAATATCTGCCTGCCTTGGGGGTATATTTGTGCCGCCATAGCCTTCCACCCACCCACCCCGAAGGGGTACACACTCATACTAATTGCGTCAATTCCTCCATATGTCGCGCCCTTTCGCACCCCCGGGGGTATACCGACACCCATTCTGGACAACGTTGAGTACTAATCGGCCTGATTAAAATGTCGACAGCGCTGGAATTGGTGCGGGGTGTTCTTTGGAGCGGAGCGTAGTCGGTGTTTAAAGGTACCGCGAAGGCGAACTATGTGAATTCAAAAGTAATAAATAACCTGCTTTGTAATAAATGGTGCCGTTTGAAGCGGACATCCAAAATCACGATAAAGCCATTTTTGTAAAATTTTTGGACCGTGAACGAAAAAGTTTCGACTACGATGCCGGTACGCCACACTACGGTATGTACGTTTGAGCGGGTGGTGAAGGGACTTTCTCCAAGCACCTAAAAATTCTGAATCCGGAAGGACCCTGATAACCCAATGATTGAATGATTTTTCGGGAACTAGGACGTGAAGACTACGGTATCTGGTGGGTGTCATTTGGCGCGTAGCGTTGCCTGTGCCGGGCGCTTTCACTACCAGAGGGTTTCGGATACCACCTGACGTGATCATTTCGAAAATCGTAAACAGATTGAAGGGGGAAAACCTGAAATACTAAAAATGTCGAAAATCGGTTTCTGAAAATTAGATCGCCACTACAGTACCATTTTTCCAGTGTGTCTATTGGAGCGTTGTGTAGTTGTCTTAGTGATGAAAGCGGCTTTTTTGGGTAAAGTTAGAAACAGATCTGTATGTGCGTCGTAGTGTCATGGAAAAACGTTAAAGACGATCAGCCATTAAAAGGGTCGTGGAAGGCAGAATTTTTTCAAAATCCCAAATCCTAAATCCTCAAAATAACATGAATGTTAGTGAACACGAGCATCAGTTCAGAAATTTTGATATCCACATATTAATCACCTCTTTCCGTTGTTCGCCTAAATGCGCTAATTGCCCCCCTACTCCACCCAACTCAAAAATTCAGTAGCACGACAATACGGTGGGGTGTGTTTAGGGCAATTATGAGTGACTGGGCCAATGGGTGGGACCCCGGGAATGGACAGGTCGTGATGAATAATTCTCGATCGCTCTCTCCCCAAATGTACACTGTTTGGGGGAGGCCTCAAATTAGGGCCCAACGGGGGGCAGGTGGGCCGCGGGCCACTGTGGGAATATTCGCAGCCTGGGTCCATTCTATCCGGTGACCCCTAGTGCGCGCAACGGGGGGAGACAATGGGCGGCATGGTTTTGGAGGTTTGGATGATTAGAAAAAAACAGGTTAAGGGATAGCTAGCGGCGATTATTTGGGAATATCAGGTCTGGATTATTGATTATAGATTACTATGGATCATGGATTTTAGAATTTCACTTATTTCTAGCAGAGATTCTTGGGGATTTTTGATTCCGCCGAGGTGACGACGGCTCTCTCCCTCGTTCTCTCGCTCTTGCTCTCTCTCTCTCTCTCGCTCTCTCTCTATCTATTTATCTCGCCCACTCGCTCTCCCTCACTCTCTTTTACTCTCCTCACTCGCCCTTTCTCTCTATAGCTCTCTCGCCCGCTCTCTCTCACTCTCTCGCTTTTCTCTCTCTCGTTCTCTCTCTCTCTCTTTCTCTCGCTCCCTCTCGTTCTCGCGCTCTCTCTCTATCTATTTCTCTTGCCCACTCCCTCTCTCCCTCTCCCGCTCGAACAAGTTTACACGGCCCGGGTTTCTAGATATTGTGCCCTTCCTTTCAGTCCCCTTTCTACAGCATCCAATTACGCTACAAGCGCCGATAAAAAGTGCTGTGCGGGGCCCATTTCTGCCCCACACTACCAATGTGCCCCTTACGCCCAGCTAGTACGCACTAATTTGGTCCCGAGAGGGGTTGGGCCTGTTTGGGGCCAACTTTCGGACCCACAACTGGTCATTTCGGACGGCTTAGTTTGGACTTGGGTCCAGATGGGATGCGAGGTTTTAAAGGGCTATTGACGTCGCTGACCTGCAGCCAAATCGTCTCGGCAATTTAAGTCCGGGATTTAAGCAAGATTTCCTCAAGGTTTTCTGCTAGCATGCCCTGCGTAACTCTCATCCTCAAAGACATTTGCTAGCTTACACCTTTGCTCCTGTTTGAAACGATTTTCTCAGTTTCCTCAAGACTCTCCGCTACCCTACCCCAAATTCCGTATTGCTCCGATCTCATAGGTTTCAGACCCAAACGTGAAAAACGTTAAGCGTTCCTCCAATGCCCTCCTCATGCCATCAATTTGATGGATATGGGCGGCCAGGGGGTTTTTCTGGCTTTCATTATTCTAGGGGGATGGCTGAAGCCGAAGAAGGGAGGAGGATAAAAATGAGGGAGGCCGGCTGGGGGGGGGGGCTAGGGGCGACAATTGAAGACGAAATTACAGGGCTGCAGGCCCGACCCCCTAGGGGGTGGAAGACCCTAAATCCTCTTGCACAACACCCAAAGGTAATCGGATCCTTTTGGGTAGATAGTATTGAATAATCCTTTGGATATTGTTCATTTTGGTTAGGTGGGCTAGCGGGGGTCTCTGAGGAAAATACGACGGTCTAGCACCGGGCAGGCTAGCAGGCGTTCTCCAGAAGGACCATAGCAGGCTAGCAGAGAGCCGTGAGGAACACGAAAGAGCCTGAACGATGTCGACAGGATCCTTGTAGCGCAAATCCTAAAAACGGCAAAACGATAAATACTTTGCCAAATTAAGGGAAGGCTAGCAAAGAGCTTTAGAGAAATTCTGAAAAAATTAGCTGGTCCGGTAAAAACGGGCCCATTAATGAAAAGCCACCGGCTAGATAGCAGAGACAATTTGGGAATCGGCAAGGAACGGCTTTGTTTTATTTTAACAGCCTTTTCCCTTTGACTTCCCGATCCCTTTAATCCATTCCGTTACCCTCCTCCTCCCAAACATCCGAGGCTCCACCCCCTTTTTCCCATGTGTGGCTCGGGCCGGCTGGCTAGCTGTGGGTGCCACCTTCTGTTATACGACCCGTCCCTCCCCTTCTCATTCTCCATCTCTTCCTCCCTCCCTTCGGCTTCATCCTCTCATCGCCCCTTTATGCAAATCTTATGATTTGGCATGGGTGGCCTCATTCCAAGGGCCCATTATATACCCCGCCTTGTCGACAGGGTATCACTTTCATTTGCCGCGTTGTCATTGGCACATTTTTTGGCGCTTTTGGATATGCCTAATTTGCATAATTATTGTCCATTTTTTTCCCAAATGATCTCTGCTGGCTTGCCCGCTTGTTTGGGTCCGAGTGTCGAATTGGAATTGCTTATGACCAGTTAGGCTAGCAGTGATTTTTAAGGATTTTTTTTGCAAAATTAGATTTCTGATCACTTGATCAAATTAAGGTAGAATTAAAAGCCTATTTAAAACTTTCCCTATCTTTCTTTCCAACTTTCTCTCTCTATCTCTCTCGCTCTCTCGATCTCTCTCGCTCGCTCGCTCTCTCTCTTTCTCTCTCTTTCTCTATCTCTCGCTCTCTTGCTCTCTCACTTTCTCTCGCTTTCTCGCTCGTTCTAAAACACCGAAAATTCCTAAATGACCTCTGCTAGCCTGCTTCGACTTTTAATTGGACTCTTCTCCGTTTTTATAACCTTTATCACGGCGATTTTGGTTAGAAATCAAGATATCCGGGATTATTGAAAAAATTGGGCCCATTAAATGGACCAGGAAGGGTAGATTAAGATTTTTGACGGCGTAAAAATTGTTATTTTCTCTGTTTTCCCTTCGAGTTTTGTTCCCAGAAGGTCGTAGTTTTCCGAACTTTATCACAAAAATTTATACGTAGCAAACGTTCACCAATATCTTCATAATATATTTTTTCGCCTGATAATCCTAACCATATTGCCCAAATCTCAAGGATCATTAAAAAGATAATAAGCCAGATGCTCCACCCAAATCCCCCCGATTTTCCCGGCGGCCAAACGGGGAGCTTCGCGGAAATGAGGGCGCAAATTGCGCAACTCCCCCCGGGGGGAGGGGAGGCTGGGCCGGCTATTGTCTTCAGGCTTTGGCCCACACACCTGGCCCTATTGCCTTGCCTCGGGGTCCTATCGCGATTATCTCCACCAAGCTGGCCTCCTTTACTTTTTCTGCACTTTTCACGGCTTCACCCCCACACTTTTTCTGGACGGGGCTGGGGCTATAAAAAGTAGCATAAGAAAAATGGGCAGGGTAGCAGGGACTACTTGGGAAAATCGTTGGAAATTTCTGCTAGCGGCCGCAAATTCCTCAATGGTCACTGCAAGCCCGCCTTCTTCAAAGAATCTCTGCTAGCCTGCCCTTTCTCTAAGAATCTCTGCTAATATACAATTCCTAATGAATCTCTCCTAGCGTGTCAGCAGTTCCTAAATAATC